AAAAGACACTGGTGTTCGGTCGAAACTGGTGGAAACAAATCAACACTCCCAGAATACTATGCGGAATAACGATCTAAAACCATTCGAGTCACAATATAACATAAAAATGACTTTCGTGCATTTGACAATGATAAACTTACCGAAAAGCCGTGTTATTCACGGTCGCTAACGTCGGTATAATCCGCCATTTTATTTGAGTGTGTTTGCCACCCGGTGACGTCATCATGTGCGCTATAGAAGGAGGGATGTGATTCGTTGACTAAAATCGTCGATAGTGGGTCTCGTTGAAATCTCGTTACATAGGCGTCGGATCAGATGTAGGTAGGGCGGAATTAAAAAAAAAAAATCTCAAAATCAAAGTAAAATAATAAAATAAAAGGGCATCAATAACAAATATAATAAAAAATAAAATTAAAATAAATTATAGCCAAAATAATTAAAGCCCGTACACTACATCAGATTTTAATCAGATTGCTTAAATGCAAGACAGATGACAGGGTTTTATTTTACTCGCAGTGCTTACACTACTTAATTAATATAGGAATTATTCAGATTTGTTCATTTCCATGGCAACCTTTTACATTCTGTTGTCAGTTTTTCCTATCTTTATACTTGTTTTATATAAGGAAATGTCTAGTTTTCAATCCCTGGAAGTTACAACAACCCCTTGAATATGTGGAAATTCAGAATATTCCCAACTGATTTTTTTTTTACTTCAGTGATGCAATTTGTATGCGACATCAGTGAAGCTAACTGTGATGACAATCTTCTAGCATCACTATTAAGGTAAACAATGGTAGAAAAATGTTATTGTTATGCAAATTAACTGCCACAGCTACAATCAACCAACCAAACTATTCATTATTTTGAAAGTAAAAGTTAAAAAATGAATTTCTGAGAAAAACAAAAGACATATCACCATGCCATAACAGTAGCAACACAATTTAAAATCAAGTGAGTTAAAATGAAATATTCCAAATATCTCATTATTACTTATTTTTTTTGTTGGATCAGGGAGCTGTAATGAGAGCTCCCTGGTTGGATGTACTTTGTAGAATGAATCTTTTATGCAATCGTGCCACATTTAATCTTATTCATAATTTGCATTTTCGAACTCCTTTTCTTTGAGAAAAAGCTCTATCCTTGTTCGTAATTTGCATATTTGACTACTTTGGGAAAAACTTAAATGTTCTTATTGATCCTCAATATTCTGAGGGGCGGGGCTACGTCACAGAACGTTCCACATTGCCATGTATTTCTATGGGCTCTGTGTAAGCGACTGTAGAACATCGTTTGAAGAGCCGATGAAAAACGAAGTCGAGAAAACTCCACAAACTCAACTTTGAAGTAATTCTGAGCAACTAAATGTATGTATGTTGCACAAGTAGGGGTAATCTTGTTACACTGTTCAGGAGAGTCTCAACAAATATCCCATATTACAGTTTTTACTGAGAGTTTTTGGCCTTTGTTTTTACTGATGAAAAAACGCGGATGTTCGCCTGAGAATAGTTCATGTTTTTCTATATACCCAATTTTTATCTGTGTACACCAAATTAAGATATATACCATGTGTCCTATGCCAGTTTGTAGCTGGTTGCAACATTGTAAACTTCTTAAGTATTGCAAAAGAAAATTCTCTGGAATGTCTACAGTCTGAGAATATTGCACATAAAACAGTAAAACTTCATTGGGTTTCTGAAAGGGTGATGGTCATTGCGACACACTTATGTGAGGTATGTATTGATAAACAGTGATTTTCTTAGAACCTAATGAACTACAAAAGTTGAACTATAGTAATTTCTGAGACGATTGGATCACATCGAAGAACTCTAAGGAGTCAATATCGCTATTTAGTGCTCATGGCGACCAGGTCAAAACTGGCACTCATGCAAGCCACTGTGAGAGAGATGTGGATAAATAACATAATAAACATATTTGGAATTGTGCCAAATTAAGGACAGAATTTGGAAAAAATTATCGTGCTTAACAGGACAATGGATTAATATATAATTGTTTGATTTGAAGTACTGTAAGGAAACAATTTGTAGTTGCTTAAGGGGTATACTGTGTGAATGAACATGCTGTAAAAACAATTACGAGTTGCTGATGTACTAATTCATTTCACTTAATAGTTGTCATACTGTCGCGTCATATTTTTTGTAACAAATTTAGCTTACAGCTTAGCACTAGTTTACAATTATCTGTTACAACATTGCTCATAAGTTGCTTTATTACCAAGGAAACATACATGTATATTCAATAACGACAGTTGATAAACAACACCTTTATTTTTTCTTCAAATTTGAACATTAAGTTCTCACCGACCAATAAACAAAGTGTATTGACCTATACTGGCAATCGTCAAATGGTCTTTTTCCCCATGAGACCTTCTTATTCATTGACTTAAAAAAAAGTGATGTTTGATGCAAGTGTTATAATAATCTAATCTAAATTGTCCCCTAATTTGTGTAATTTCAGTCGGGGGCGATTGGTCACAAGTAAATGTTGAATATAGATGCATGGCTTAATATGGTCTTGAGATACTTTAACTTCTGTCATTTTTTCTGCTCCTAAATTATCTCATCAAAAGTGATAATTTCCCTCAGTAGCCATGCCAACCAGCTCCCTGTTCCAGTTCAAAGCACTTTTATCAATCTGGATGGATAAAGGCCGCCCTCACTCAACAATAACCTGTTTCTTTCTACCTTTGTTTTTACACAGCCCTGCATCTTTTACTTGCGTACATTGCTTTCTGGTAATTTACACCCATAACGATATTGCTTGTTTTTTTTTATCTTCAATCAGAGTGAATGTACTTAGTGTATCTTAATGTAGTTCATTTTATATTTTGTTACTAAGTCAAGATCCTATTTCATTTGTGGTAACAAGTCTTTGTTGCATGGTTACCATGGATACTCATCAGTGTGTATGTGCAGATTTGTAAAAAATTAAGGTATTTTTTTTAAAAAGTCCAGACGTGAGAAAGATGTGTAATACAATAAAGTTGGTTCCGATCATTTCTGAGAATTTTTGCCAGTTGTGTTTTGACTTCCAACTTTGTACTTGCAGTTATTATTCTGTTTATGTTTAAATATTATTACTGTCAGTGTTTAAGTTACAGAGAAAATAAAAACATATTTGTATATATTACTAATGTGTGAACTTTTAATGTCATGCCTGTATATATGGAAGAATAAATTTGTTTGTCAAATTATATTTCGCCAACATT